AATGCTTCACCCCTCCCTGGCCACTGGGGCCAATACTCCCCCACTGTGCCATCCATCCCCACACCACCGACATGGGACTCGGAGCTGAGTTGCTGGTCCCCCACCGCACTCCTGCCCCACCACCAGGCCTCCCCCTGTTCCTGAGCTTGAAGGTCCAGGAACATCTGTGTTCCACCAGAAAGTCCCAGTTTAGGGAGGCATAACCTGTACTATATCAAGGATAACATTTTGAGAGGTGACTACACAGACATGTTATTACTGTTGCCCAAGAAGGTATGAAAATTGAGGTAGAGCCAACAGGACGGTAAAATGCTAAGAGACCAAAGGCAGTCAGACATGTGATGACCAGGAAGCCACCTTCTTGATATATGTAGGCTTGTCTGTGTAAACCTCTGCAGTAAGAAGTCCAGCATTATCCAATATATGGATATCATCCAGAAGGCTTATTGCGTTCCGTGGCATGGCTTGGTTTGGTTTAATTATGAACAGCTTAGATCAGGAGTTCCGAAACTCACTGCAATACAATCCCCTTCTGATAACAAAAAAAACTACAGGACCCCTGTGAGGAGGGACCAAAGCAGAAGCCTGTCCAAACCCCAGTACCCTGAAGTGGAGGAGGGAGACGACATCACACTACTCCAGAGGGACCGAAGCCGAACCTTAGCCCTGCTGCCCAGGGTTGAAACCTGCAGGCTTGCGCTTTGATCTTGGGCCTCCAGCAAATCTAAGCCAGCCCTGCTGACCTTATTAAAATGGTCGAGGCCCACTTTGGGGTCTTGATCCGTGGTTTAAGAACCACTGGCTTAGATTGAGAACATCAACACAAACTGGGATCCAAGGTGAAATACAACATTAACATATGGCATGGTTTGAGAGAGGACACAACAGGGGCTTGCTTTCTGTAATGACAGTGACCTGTGCATTCCACAGCACACCTGCCAGAAGCTCATAATTGGAACCCTGCGTGGATGCAAAATTAGCATCCACATCCACAAAAATGATCGGTGGATATCCATATATGCGGGTGTATGTGGATATACAGCAGGGTACTACTTATAATGGTGGGCAGTTAATGAAAGTGGATGCTTTTGTATCATCTGCAAATGTAACAGCATTAAATGTACCTTGGGGCTTGAACAGCCCACAAACGCTAGAGCAGGCAAGAAAAGCCAAGAGCCCAGTTAATGATGGAATAGACCCAGCCTTGTAATACATGCACTATTCCTCCCTTGATGAAGCTGTGGAGCCCAGACCTGTGCGAGGAGAGAAACTGGGAGGGAAGAGGAATCTTTAGCAGTAGCCTCTGTGCCCTGGGAATGAGGGTTTGTTTTTTTAAACATCGTAATTCTTTTACTCTGACAAGTCATTTCTGGAAATTGAGGTCTCCTCTCTCAGGCTAACAGAGAAAAGCAGTATTCCTAAAAGGCCAAACAATCGAGGGACCAGATTGAAGGAAGCAATAACCTATAAAACTTAATGAGTAGTGCCCTCCTATTAATTCAAGAACAGGAACACAAGAAAGGAGAAGTTAGATACCTTTGATTAAGAACCGAGGGTTTGCAATATTACAAAATCAGTGCTTAGGTCACGTTATCAGGATGAAAAAAAATGTGGAAAAAAGTTACCTTTTCTTAGAGGTAGTTCACCACTTTGTGCTAATTCTGTTCCAGTGTACACAATTTCGCCATCTTTCACCATTTCATTCCATAAGCCACAGAGTCCATCTCGTGTAAAAGCAAGCTGTTAAAAACAATTTTAAAAATAAGGTATGTATAGCATTCCTCACACTATCTCAAATAAAACTTTTGGAAATTCTGGTCAGCACTTCTCACAGCAAAATAAACGAAACCACAGCACACTTACAATTTAGTTGTCATACTATTAGCAGTGTCAGACTTTGCTCTACTACCCTAGTAGGTATGGCTCACTTTAGGATCATCCTACCTGAAAGAAAAGCTTCAAAAAGCATAATATTGATCAACTGACCTGCTGAGTCATGGGGGGCTGCTGAAGCATCCCACACTGCATTGTGGGTGGGAGGGCTGGT